AGAAGATAAGGATGAAGGAATAGAAAATGGTGTGCCTTGAAATTGTGAATAATAACAATAACAGCATTTAAAGCAAATATAGCATCTGAATCTGAACATCACAGCTTATAATATATATATATATATTTATATATATTTTGCATATAATATCATATTTTATGAATGAGAAAAGTGGAAATGCAGAGAAACTGACAGACTTGACCAAGATCCCATTTCTAGTAAGTGTCAGGACTGGAGCTAGTTTTCTGGTATCTTTTCACCCCTTCAGCTATATTGTGTAGAATATGTTCTATACACTACAGATATGATAGTATAAAGTGCTCCTGCAAGAAATTTTATTTTCATGAGAAGGAAACACATTTCACCTGTTGGGAAATGAGTATTTTCAAAGTTGAAAAATACTTTATTGGCATTCTTATTTATATAAAAAGAAGGCCTTGAATCTAGGCCCAACACATCAGATAGGTTTGTGGATAAAGGCATATGGTATTTTCTTAGAATAGGAAGTTGTGCCAATTTTTTTTTTTACTTCAGGAGAATGGCTTCCTGGGACATGGGCAAGAAAGGACATGTGGGCAGGAACTTGTGCTGCAGTGGCATCAGGGCCTAATATCATGACCTCAGGTTAGGGACTGAGTGGAGAGATTACTAACCAAGGTGGGTTATGAACCAGGAATGCTTTGTAGACTTTAGGAGAATAATAGCTCATGTAGAGCTCCGAATTTTCCTTTTATGCATTGTTGCTATTGTGTGCAATTCTTAGATGGTCAGAAAAATAATAAAATATTAAATCTTGGATTATCAATGCCTTCAGAACTTTAGACAGTGAGAGTATATCCTTATGGGATTTGTTCTTTAATTTGGACATCAAAAGTGATCTCAGAAATGTGGAATGTTTAGGATACTAGAATCACTAACTCCTTGCAATTGAGAAACAAGTAACTGAGTGTAAATTTGGGGAAGAAATCTCAGGGGTAGTGTAAAAGCTGCTTAGGATGGGAGTGAGAATGGAGGTAAGGAAACTAGTTTGGAGATTTTTGCAACAGGGATTAGAAGACCTTGAATAAGAACAGAGCAGTGAGAAACACAGTGAGCATTTCAGGAGGCTTGGGAACCTCTTGAAGGAGGAAGATCAGAGAGACAGCACTGTTTCTTATAAACACAGGCTACAATAGCCAGGAAATGTTTCCAAGAGGGGAAAATGTAATTCTCTGCCAACATAGACAAAGTAATTTGTTACTGGTGCTGTTCAACTTACTGCTCAGTCTTTTACCTGTCTATTAGAACAAGTCAAATTTCTCCAACACCCTACAAAACTGAGTGAGAATATATGAGACTTGTGTGTCACTGTTTGCCTCTGGACAGCTGGATAAGACACTTTGCCTGTATTCTTAATCCTGCACTTGACCTCACTCTTTCTATTTAGGCTGCCCTTGACCTCCTGAGGTGTCAGTTTTAGAGAAACACACACACCTCATTCTCTAGAGCCAATACTAACTGATAGAACTGTCTGTGATGAAGAAAATGATACATAGCAAATGAATGCATGAAAGGTGGCAAATGAGATCGCAGAGCTGATTTTTATTTAATTTTAATAAATTCTAATTTGTATGACACAGCCCCACATGGCAGGTCCATAGTATAAACAGCAGGTCTCAGTGTACCCAGGATATTGGAGTCTTCGTTCTGAGGGAATTTTTACCAACTTGCTTTGCCTACAGGAACCAGGAGATGTGGTAGCCATAAGCACTGTCCCAACTATAATTATATGGAGAGCTCCTTCCAGGAATCATGCTGGCAGACTGCATTAATTTGTATTGTATTAGTAGAGAAGCGCAATGTAATTAATTATATGCATTTGAGTAGTTCAGGTATAATTTATTAAAATTGCATAATAAAACCGGATTTCTGCAAGATTCTTGGCTAAAAAAGGGGGGAGAAATCTAGACTTAATTGTCTCTTTTCCACGCCCTGGATTCATGTTTGAATCACAGCTACTTAGATAGATTCTCTTGAAAGCTCCTCTCATTAGTATTGATACAATTTTACTGGCTGCAACATTTCAATTCTTGATCATATGGACAGATATTGAGAACATGTGGGCCCTCTTTGCTAGTCTGGACCTTTCTAACTATCAGACAAAGACTCATCTACCTGAAGCTGCAGTCTCTTGAAGTTTGCCATATGTTTGGCTAGTTACATTTTAACTCGCCTTGTGCTAAGATGTTAACAGGGCCCAAATGTTTAATCATTGTATTCATACTCTAGAGTAGGCACCTTTAGAGTCCTGAGCCAAACCAGGACTAAGGGGAAGTGTTCCAGCTTTCCTGGCTGGCACCTGATTGCCGTAAAAGTAGAGGGAAAGATGAGCAAATTCAATTCAATAAATGTTTAGAATGTGATAACGACATGGGAAGCTTGGAGGTAGAAGGAAACGACTTCTCTTTCTATGCCAAGAAAGTTACCAGGCAAACCTCCTTCTACTTGCAAGTGGAGGTTAATAATATCTGCAATTTATTGGACCTTCCTTCCAAGGACTTCAAGGTACGATGCAATCTAACCCTGACATTTTTTAAAAATATGTATTTTTAAAGTACTTGACTACTCAGCCAAAGAACTATGGACATGTGATAACCTTATGCTTTGTGTGTGTATATAAATATACAAAAATATGCACGTGTGTGTGTGTGTGTGCGTGCGCGCACACACACACACACACACACACACACATATATATATAAAAAAAAATATAAATACTCCACACAGGCTCACATATCATACATATATAGATGTTTAGATGCATGTTCTTATGTTTTTGTATGTATGTGTATGTGTGCATGTACATTTCCTCCTCACTCCTGCAGTAGCTAACCATAGTGTACTGTTTTCTTCTCTTTGCTGACATTTAAGTTCTGCCATTTACTGTCTATGAGATGTGAGACAAGTCGCAAACTTCCTCAGCCTGAATTTTCTTACTTATAAGAGTAATGATACTTCCCAAAGTTATTGAGAGCATGAAATGCAATAATAGATGAGAAATAAATAAAATAGGATGCCATTTAAGGTCAACATATTCGATACTGGGAAATGTGGAATTGGTCTCGCTCCAACATGATTCTGAGGACTTGTGCGGGAGGCTGATTTCACAAATGTACTGGGAAGCATATGGATGCATTTTCTGGCAGATGGCTGATACGTTCTGTGCTGCACATGCACGCATGGCTTTCTATGCAGTTGCTTTAGCATGGGCAGCCTCTTTCAGGAATCCTTATGGGGCCAAACCATATTAGGTGAACCTCAATAAACAGGGAGCTGGAGGCTTGAACCTAATGCAAACAGTTTCCTGGATGTTCAGTACTGAGTGTAAATAACATCTTGAATGCCACCAAATGTCAATACCGATGCTTGATAACATTACATAAATTCAGCTTTAAATGAGCAAAGCTAAGTTCAACCAATTGGGCCTGTTTATATCCTCAAATGCTGAAATGACTATGTCCTGGAGATTTTATGCCTCCATATGAGACGTTCCCATATATACAGTGTGTGTGTGTGTGTGTGTGTGTGTGCGTGTTTATATTTCCTTAACATGACAGTTCTTACATCCTTGAGAACAACGTTTCAAATAAATAGCCCTCTCACATAGTACCTGTTCTAAGAGTTATGCTATGGGACAGAGGAAAAAGAAGAAGGATTTATGGATCAGAAGAAATTGTTTATATTCTGCGGTGGTGTGTTCCTGCTCCATTAAAATTTAGTAAGCACATCCAGGTATAACAGCTTTTAATAATAACATGGGTTCATGGGAGGTTCAGTTTCTGAGTGCTAGCATATTTACGACCTTGACATAGATAATGTTGGGGTTAAAACAGACTGCTGAGAACGACCAGCATAAGGTGTTACAGAGAAGCATTGGAGTTGGGCACACTACATTACTGATTTCAGGCACAGAACGAAACACACCAACTGTTCCTGCCCCTTCCTACTGAGGTGTCTGATTAAATTAGGTGCAAATATGTAAAATATAAAAGTGAAAGGATGCAATATAAACTTTGAACGGAGATACTGGGAAAAAAACTGAATTATAGTCTCTTTGCCACAAAACTCAAATCTAGTTATTAAATCTTTAATTTTGAAAGGAAGAGTCACCTTTCAACCCCTGATGGCCTCTCAGGCTCTTCCTCCTTGTTCTGTTAAGAACGTTTGTTTATGACGTTCTTTAAAACACCCTCCATGGGAGCCTGGATTTCCCAGTACTGTCTGCTGAACATGCCTACTCTTCTGCAGCCTAAACAGCCTCACTCTCCTAACCTGCCCTTCAACAGAGATCACTTTTCAATTGTTTAATAGATTTCCTCTGAAGGGCTTCCAAATTATTCTCACTCTTCTTAAGTTTTCATCATCGGTAGCACTTTGGCTGTGTCCTGAATATTCTGCTGGGCTCTGTGCCAGGCTTGATTGCAAATGTCTTCTACCTGCCCCTGAGCTTCAGAGCCATGCTACAGGCAACGAAAATGAGATCAATACATGTACTAACACAGCCACAGTGTGTGCTCTTTGATTTAGGAGGAAAGAGAGACACAGGGTTTGGTTGGGTCTTTTTGCTTTGTTTTACTTATTTCTATTTATGACTTGCCTGATTCTATCAAGACTCTTTTGATATTCGTCTTTTGGAGGATTGTTACTGACTTTTGTATTCCATGTGAGGATATATTGGCCCTCACTCAGGTTAAGTCTTACGGGTTGGGAGAGAAGACTTGGAACTATCATTGGGACTAAATTGGGTCACTACCCAGAATATCAAGTGTCAGCAAAAGCTTTCATGGCTCAAGCTGGGTATCAGGGCAGAATCCAAGTTCATCTTACTAAGACAGAATGGTGGAAGGTCAAAACTAGAAGATCCAGGCATTGGGAAAGGTGATATAAAAAAAATGACCAACTACCAAAAACTTTGATAAGAGAGGAAAAATAATTATAGATCATCCAGACAGGGTACTTACCAGGGCAGCTGTCGAGTAAGGGCCCCTTAGTGGCTCTGTCTAGTCTTTTAAGGGTGGCACTGGCTCTCTGGTGAGATCAGTATAGGAATGAGGTGCTGGCTGATGTGAGTACTGTAGCTGCATTGTGAGGAAATAAAGAACCCCAAGGGGAAGATCTCTGAGCTCAGAGATGTGAAAATCCTCTTTCAAATAATAAATATTGGTTATGAGTTGGACGTGGTGGCACATGCCTGTAATCCCAGCACTCGGGAGGCTGAGGCAGGAGGATCGCTGTGAGTTCGAGACCAGCCTGGGCTACATAGTGAGTTCCAGGTCAGTCTCAACTACATAGTGAGACCCTGTCTCAAAAAACCAAAAAAAAAAAAAAAAATATATATATATATTTTGGGCTTGCTCTGTGAAGAACTGGGTTTCAGTTTTAAGTTCAATTGTTATTTAGTCTGTGTTGGTTTTGGACATGGCATTGAAATCTTCTGAGATTAAATTTCTAATCTATAAAATGACGATAAATTTTTGGCCTAATGAAAAGCAGTTGAGATCATTTTTTTCAAAAGGTCAATGGTCCAACCCTCCACTCACTTATAACTGCCAAGGTCAGCCTTCACCTCCTAAAACCTCCTGTCCTCTAAACCTACCACTATCTTGCTCTGCCTTCTTATCTGTGTTTTCATTTGTTTTTTCCCCTACCTTAGATTCTATTGTCTGTAACTACTTTGTCCCTTTGTAAATATAATTCCCTTACAGTTCTTCCTCTTTTGCTGATGCTCATGAAAAAGTCCCTACTCTAGTTAAAACGCTCCTTTGCTCTTCACGCGTGCATTGGGCCAAATGTTTCTTGAGAAAATTATTCAAGATTGTTAAATATTCTTACTGTACATTTCTGGTCACAAATCTCAGATGGTTGCCTCATGCCTTATTCAATTCTCTGTCCTATGTACTACTAACCTCTAAGTGCTCTAAGTGACTAAAAAATGCACTCAGGAAGCCCTGAGTCTGCTTACCATCAACATTCTCAATCTCCTCATATCCATGTTTTGTAAACTGTAGATGATCTATGAATATTAATTATTATCATGGTTCTGTAATTCTTGGAACTATCCAGTGCATTTGAAATGCTTTCTAAAAAAAAATGCTCAAATATGACATCTAGTAAACTGTATAGTACAGAGAAGAGACTACATGAGTCATGGTGCACTATTATGAAATTTATCTTAATTAAGATGTGTGCTAAGGGCACATAAAACACAAAAAGAGCTGCGGAAGTTTGACCAGGTAATGAGCAATTTGACCATTTTGTCATTGATTTTTTTTTTCAGCTTTAATTGAGTTTATTGGTACATTTTAGGGATACAGTACAGTTACATTCATTGTCGGGATCTTGTATCTCTACTTGACAGGTCTTGGTTCTCATTTTTTCCCCTTATCCCTGCCCTCCCTTTACCCCCTCCTCCCCTCCCCATTTACAAACACTTTATTTCCATCTTTTCATTTTCTCACATTTTTTTCTTTTCCCTTATTACCCTTCCCCTACCTATCCCACCTTCCCTACATCTTTAGCCCCTTTCTTCCTATTTATCAATGTAGTAATCTTATTAGAATCTTATGTATTATTACAGTTTATTCACACTGCAAAACTATTTGGTATTTACACATGTGTGACTTATTTATTTCACTTAGGAGTATATCTTCAATATGTATCCATTTTCCTATGAATGAATCTATTTTCTTGTTCTTTATGGCTGAGTAGTATTCCATTGTATAGAAAAACCACATCTTCTTTATTCAGTTTCCAACTGATGGGCAAATGGGCTGTTTCCAAGATTTAGCTATTACAAACTGTGCCGCTATAAACATGGGTGTGAATACATCACTGTGATATGAGTCTTTTAGTACTTTTGGAAAGATACCCAGCAGAGGGATGGCTGGGTCAAATGGAACCTCTAGTCCCAGCTCTTTGAGGTATCTCCATATTGATTTTCACAGTGGTTGCACCAGTCTGCACTCCCACCAACAATGGAGAAGGGTTCCTCTCTCCCTACATCCCCGCCAACATTTGTTATTGTTTGATTTCTTGATAGCAGCCATTCTTTGTGGTGGGAGGTGAAATCTCAGCGTTGTTTTCATCTTCATCTATCAAATGACCAGTGATGTGGAGCATTTTTTCATATATTTACTTGCTGCTTTTACTTCTTTGAGAAATGTCTATTCATTTCGGATGCCAATTTTTGAATTGGGTCTTTATATTTGGGGGGCTGATTGTTTTGAGTTCTTTCTATATTCTAGATAATAGTCCTTTGTCTGAGGAGCAGCTGGTAAAAATTTTTTCCCCACATTGTAGGGTGTCTCTTAGTTCTGCTGATGGTTTCTTTTGCAGTGCAGAAGCTTTTTAATAGGATGAGATCCCAGTTGTTGATTCTTTCTGCTAGTTCCTGTGCTACTGAGGATTTGTTCATAAAGTCTTTTCCTATGCCAATGTCTTTCAGAGTTCTGCCTAACTTATTTTCCAGCAAGTTTAGTGTTTCTGTTTTAATATTTAGATCTGTCATTGATTTTTAAAACATATTTACATTCGGGGCTTTAATGAGCATTCACATTTAAACATTATTCTGTAGGTTTGTTTCAGTGTTGCATCATTTCCTGTTATATTCTACTGTACTTTAAAAAAAAAACCTCACCATGATCTGTTATTGTGTTGCTAAAACGCAAGCTGCAAATAAATAAGAAAACAATAATACCTTTCCCCTTTGCACCTTGACACTTGCAAATGGAAAAAAGCCCCACTGGCTCACAACGTCAACCCATTGCACTGAGAAGGGCAACCTCAGCCACTTGCTAACCTCCCTCCATAAAAGGGCTGCTTCCATAAGCAAATTCTTGGGGAAGCAGGAAGACAAATTAGCAACTTGAAAAATAAGCCTGTATTTTCACCATCTGTCATAATCTCTTTGATCTTGTTATGAAAACGACTTGTCAGATTTCTTCTGCTTGACTAAGTTATGGCTCAATAATGATCCCAGTCTCCACGACACTGTTATGATGAGGCATTCAGAAAGCCAGCTTTGACTTCCATACCTAGGCAGGTGCTCTGTCACTTTACCATGCGTATTCCCAGCCCTATTAGCAGTGATCATGTAACACCAGAGCACAAAGCTAGGCAGTGGACATTTTTCTTGGGGCTTTAACTATCTCCAAGTGAATGAGTACTGGCAATAAATAAACAGACTAAAGATGGTACAGAAATAAATCTCCACATTTACAGCCAACTAATTTTCAATAAGTTTCCCAAGTACATATGGTGGAGAATGGACAATCTTTTCAATTGAGTGATGTTGGGAAAACTGGATATTCATGCACAGAAGAAAGAAATTACACCTTTATTTGTACTATATATAAAAGCTATTCCAAGATGGATTAAAGAGTTAAATGTCAGGAAGAAAACTGCAAAACTACAAGAAGAAAACATGAGTAGAAAGCTAGGTAGTTTGTTTAATCAATGATATACTTAGATATGCCAATAGTGTTATTTATTGCCAGTATCATGCTGTTTTACTTAATATAGATTTGTAGTATAATTGGAAATAGATAGTGTAATGCCCTAGTTTCTTTTTTGTTTGTTTTGTTCCATTTTGGTACTGGGGATTGAACCTAGTTTCTTAATTTTTGCTCAAAATTGCTATGCTTACTGGTGGTCTCTTGCATTTCCACACACATTTTAGAATTTAGACATTTGTGTGTGTGTGTGTGTGTGTGTGTGTGTGTGTGTGTGTGTGTGTGAAAAGTGCCTTTGGAATTTTGATAGTGATTGAATACAATAGACAGGGATTTAAACAATATTATTTTAGTATATGAACACAGGATATCTTTTCATTTATTTGTATCTTCTCCAATTTTTTCATCAGAATTAATTATTAAGAGGAAAGTTTACAGCTGTAGAAACATGAATGAGAGGGAGAGACAGAGAGAGAGAGACAGAGACAGAGAGAGAAAGGCGGGGGTTGGGGGTGAGATCTCAAATAAGCTAATATTACACCTAAAGAAACTAGGATAAACAAAAACAAAATTAGCTTGAAGTTAATAAGAGGGAGGAAACAAAGCTTGGAACAGAAACAAATGAAATAGACACTCCAGAAGTAATAGGAAAGATTAGCAACAGTGTTAAAAAAGATTTGGTGTAGCTAAATATATTCCTAAGTATTTGATTTATGTTTTTTTGTTGTAAGTGGATGGATTTTTCTTGAAGTTTTTTAAAGGTAGGTCCCTGTTAATATATAGAAATTGTATTAACTTTTGTATCTTGATTTTGTATCCTGCAATTTTACTGAATTCACTTTTTAGTTGTAATGCAAGTTTTGGTAGACGCTTTTGTTTTTTTCTTCCCGCAAGCACTTCCTCTTTATTTAGCCCTGGGGTCTGTTTTTGTTTATTCTAGTTCCCTTAAGTCCAACCTTGGCTTATTTATTTGCTCAATCTCTCTCTGTCTCTGTCTCTATCTCTCCCCCTGTTTCTCTCTGTGATATTTATGTTTTAAGATGTAAAGTTTTAAGATATAAATTTCCCTCTTAAAACTTTTTGTTACATCTTTCAAATTTTGGCATCATGTATTTCATTTATGTGTTTTTTTGGGGGGGAGCAGGTATTTTTCAATTTCTCTTTTAATTTCTCATAACCTTTCGGTTATTTAGGAGTGAGTTGTTTAAATCTCATATATTTGTGAATTTTCCCAATTCTCTCTTGACATTAACTTCTAGCTTTATGTTACTAGTGTTAAAAAAGATGTTTGATATGGTTTCAGTCTTCTTAAAATTTTAAGATTTTTGTTCTAATATATGATTTATTTAGTAGAACATGCTGTGTACTGCTGAGAAGAATGTGTACTCTATAGCAGTTGGATGGAATGGTTTGTGGATATTTATCTTCTAGGTCTATTTGGTCTAGAGTGTAGTTTGTCTGATATTTCCTTATTGATTTTCTGTCTTGAAGATCTATCCACTGTGAAATTGGAGAGTTGTAGTCTCCTGCTATTATTTTATTGCAGTTCATCTCTTCCTTGAGATCTGTTAATATTTGCTT